GGGTTTTCTTTAACAAGCTATGGCGTACAGTGGATCCGTCAGCCACTCGGAAAGGGACTGGAATGGGCTGGTGGTATCTGGAGTGGTGGAAGCACTGAATATAGCAGTGCCCTCCAAAACCGGATCACCATCTCAAGAGACACCTCAAAAAACCAGGTGTTCCTGCAACTGACTAGCCTGAAGCCTGAAGACTCGGCCATGTATTACTGTTCAAGGCACACAGTGAGCAAAGCATTCTCAGAGGCAGTACAAAAACTCTGCTTCCTGAAAGCAAGATATACAGTAAGTCAATCATGTGTTTGTGGGCAGCAGCTGTGAGCAAGGCCATGTTCCATCCTGTGTTTCCCCTCAACCACAAAACATAATATGATGTGGCACAAATAGTTCTTTAACAGAATTAATTCTCTACAAATGTTGAAGTTCAAACATACTGGTTGGCAAAGTATTTTCAAAATAAGTCAAGAGTGAAAAGGAATCACAGCTAGAGCTAATCTTGGCCATCTGATCCATATACCTTTGGGATTCATTTCTCCCCAAACATGTGACAGTTGCACAAAATTATTACATTCTCAGCTGGGTATTACAGTGCTATAAAGTCATCTGAACAGCCTCCTACAATGTAAGCACAGAGAAAAGATTACTGTTGGTGGTGCTCACGCTCCATGACATTGGGCAATGGAGTCCAAAGGCCTAATACCACCTGCAAGAGAAAATAGAGAGAGATATCTAATTTTGCCACAGAAAGAAACTGTCTAGGATATCCTGTTTAGATGGAGGTGACATTTTTAAAGGATGAACAAGAAATAACCTTATTTCCTTATATATATTCCTGGATGCTTCCATTTTATGTCCACATTTATATGACTTTGATTATAAAAATGTTTAAAATTAATTATATTTCTTTTATTATGTGTGTGTTTGTGTGTATTCAACCTTTGCCTCAAAATATGTATTTATATGTATGTTTTTACACCTTTAAGGTGCTGAAGCAGATGGAATTATTGCATAGCAAATTTCTGAAATGCACATTAACTGAAAGTTGCCGATTAAAGATTGGAGAACTTATGTTCTCCTGGTTTTCTACATCTGCAAATGGTGTGGGCTAGCATTTCTTTTTAAAAGTCTCATTATAGCTGATTTCAGTTTCCTTTGATACTGTTTTTGTTGTTAAACTAATGCAAAGTTGAACCCTAACCCTAACCCTAATCAAAGTGTTGCATACAGTAAAGCTACCAAAAGGACAAAGCTGCAACCCAGAAATTGTTTATAGTCACATGTCACATGTGAAAGAACAGTTTCCTTTGCTGATTTCTTTTAATTTTGGAATGTGGTTTTGTAAATGGAATAAAAGGAAATGAGTATCATTCTGCAAGCGATTCCGTATTGAATCTATATTGTTTGCTCTGTGAATTGTGCAAGGTGCTGTTTCCCCTCTCACAATCTTCCCTGTCTTTAAATGGGTCTTTGAAATTGCAGGGAGATGTGGGGCTGCTGTTCTTAGCATGATAACCACACCTCCTACATGTGTGCCTCTGCTTGCCACTTATAATAACAGCACTGATGGCCCCATGCAAATCAGGTCCTGGGGGACCTTTATTAAAAAGAAGTCCTCTGCAGAGAATTCAGAATTCAAAGTCCTTCATATAATTCAGGTCTTCTTCAGGTCCTAGGAGATGATGCCATTGATCATGGAACTGCCACCCTTGATGATTTTCCTTATGTTCTTCCCAACATGTAAGAGAAAAATACTCTCCCCCACTCTTTTAGACAATCCATTGCTTTGCTGTGTCATTCCATGTCATTTCATGTTTCATTTTCCTTCTCCATATACAGACATTTCCTCACAGATCACTCTTACTGAGTCTGGAGGTGGTGTTAAAAGACCAGGAGAGACATTGCGACTGATCTGTACAGTGTCTGGGTTTTCTTTAACAAGCTATCGAGTAACCTGGATCCGTCAGCCACTCGGAAAGGGACTGGAGTGGGCTGGAGTTATCTGGAGTGATGGAAGCACAAACTATAACAGTGCCCTCCAAAACCGGATCACCATCACAAGAGACACCTCAAAAAACCAGGTGTTCCTGCAACTCTCTAGCCTGAAGCCTGAAGACTCTGCCATGTATTACTGTTCAAGGGACACAGTGAGCAAAATGCTCTCAGAGGCAGTACAAAAACTCTGCTTCCTGAAAGCAAGATATAAGTCATTCATGGGTTTGTGGGCAGCAGCTGAATGCAAGGCCATGTTTCATCCTGTGTTTCCCTCAACCATAAAACACAATATGATGCCCCACACCAAATGTCCCTTAACAGAATCAGTTCTCTACAAATGTTGAACTCCAAACATATTGGTCGGCACAACTCTTCAAAGTATTTTCAAAATAAGTCAAGAGTGAAAAGGAATCACAGCTAGAGCTGTTTCACATGTGAAAAGACAGTTTCCTTTGCTGATGATATGTCTTTAATTTTGGAATGTGGTTTTGTAGATGGAATCAAGGGAAATGAGTATCATTCTGCAGGCCATTCCATACTGCTTCTATATTGTGTGCTCCCTGCAATCTGTAGGGTGCCGTTTCCCCTCTCCCAATCTTCCCTGTTCTTAAATGGTCCTTTGAAATTGCAGGTAGATGTGAGGCTGCTGTTCTTGGCATGATAACCACACCTCCTGCATGTGTGCCTCTGCTTTCCACTTATAATAACACCTGCTCAATATACCCTTGGGATTCATTTCTCTCCAAACATGTGACTGTTGCACAAAGACATTACATACTCAGCTGGCTATTATTGTGCTATAAACTCATCTGAACAGCCTCCTAATATGTAAACAAAGATAAAAATTTGCTGTTGGTGGTGCTCACACTCCATGATGTTGGCAGTAGAGAAAACCGAGAGAGAAATCTAATTCTGCTACAGGAAAAAGCTGTCTAGGATATTCCTTTTAGATGGGGGTGATATTTCTTGTGGATGAAAAATATGACCGTTGAAAAAACACGTGTTTCTTTCTATATTTTCCTGAAAGCTTCCGTTTCATTCCCACATTTATATGCATTTTTTAAAGAAAACTTAATAATAAATTGTATTTCTTTTATTGTGTTGTGTGTGTGTGTAGTCAACATTTTTGTTAAAATATATATGCTTTTACATATTTAAGCCGCTGAAACAAATGGAATTTGTTGCACAGCAAATATGTCAAATGCACATTAACCAAAAATTACTGATTAAAGAATGATTTCCACAGGCACTGCAACTTAAGTTTTTGTTACGAATGTTCACCTTGTTTTTGAGATATTCAAATGGCGAGGGCTAGTATTTATTTTCAAAAGGCTCACCATAATTGCTTTCAGTTTCCTTTGCTTTCTAATTTTTTTTATTCAGCTAATTCAGCTGATCAAGGTGTTGCATACAGTTAAGCTACTGATAGGACAAATGTGCAACCCAATAAAGGTTTACAGTCACATATCACATATGAAAATATAGCTTCCTTTGCTGATATGTTATACCATATGTTATACCTCAAAAAACCAGGTGTTCCTGCAACTGACTAGCCTGAAGCCTGAAGACTCGGCCATGTATTACTGTTCAAGGCACACAGTGAGCAAAGCATTCTCAGAGGCAGTACAAAAACTCTGCTTCCTGAAAGCAAGATATAAGTCAATCATGTGTTTGTGGGCAGCAGCTGTGAGCAAGGCCATGTTTCATCCTGTGTTTCCTCAACCACAAAACATAATATGATGCCACACAAATAGTTCTTTAACAGAATTAATTCTCTACAAATGTTGAAGTTTAAATATATTGGTCTGCACAACTCTTCAAAGTATGTTCAAAATATGTCAAGAGTGAAAAGGAATCACAGGTAGAGCTAATCTTAGCCATCTGATCCACATCCCTTTGGGATTCATTTCTCTCCAAACATGTGACAGTTGCACAGACACATTGCATTCTCAGCTGGGTATTACAGTGCTATAAAGTCATCTGAACAGCCTCCTACAATGTAAGCACAGAGAAAAGATAACTGTTGGTGGTGCTCACACTCCATGACATTGGGCAATGGAGTCCAAAGGCCCAATACCACCTGCAAGAGAAAATAGAGAGAGAAATCTAATTTTGCCACAGAAAGAAACTGTCTAGGATATCCCTTTTAGATGGAGGTGGCATTTTTAATGGATGAAGAAGACAGCCCTTAAAATAACCTTATTTCTTTTTATATTTTCCTGAATGCTTCAGTTTCATTCCCACATTTATATGATTTTGTTTCTATAAAAAATTAAAAAAGATTATATTTCTTTTGTTATGTATGTGTTTGTATGTATTCCACCTTTGTCTCAAAATATGTATTTAAATGTATGTTTTTACACATTTAAACTGCTGAAGCAGATGGAATTATTGCATAGCAAATTTGTGAAAAGCACATTAAGCAAAAGTTGCTGATTAAAGATTGATTTCCTCAGGCACTGCTACTTAAGTTCTCCTGGTTTTCTAGCTCTGCAAATGGCGAGGACTTGTATTTCTTTGGAAAGGCCTCATCATAGCTGCTTTCAGTTTCTTTGCTTTTTTATTATTCAGCTAATTCAGCTGATCAAAGTGTTGCATACAGTAAAGCTACTGATAGGACAAATGTGCAACCCAATAAAGGTTTACAGTCACATATCACATATGAAAATATAGCTTCCTTTGCTGATATGTTATAACAGTCTTTAATTTTGGAATGTGGTTTTGTAAATGGAATCAAAGGAAATGAGTATCATTCTGGAGGCCATTCCATACTTTGTCTATACTGTGTCCTCCCTGCAATCTGCAAGGTGCTGTTTCCCCTCTCCCAATCTTCTCTGCCTTTAAATGGGCCTTTGAAATTACAGAGAGATGTGGGGCTCCTGTTTTTAGCATGATAACTGCACTAACAGCATGTGTGCCTGTACTTGCAGCTTATAATAACAGCACTGATGACACCATGCAAATTACATCCTGGGGGGCTTCATTAAAAAGAAGCCCTGTGCAGAGGATGCAGAGCTCAGGTCTTCTTCAGGTCCTGGGAGATGATGCAATTGATCATGGAACTGCAACCTTTGATGATTTTCCTAATGTTCTTCCCAGCATGTAAGAGAAAATAGTCTCCCCACTCTTGTAGACAATCCATTGCTTTGCTGTGTCATTCCATGTCATTTCATGTTTCATTTTTCTTCTCCATATACAGACATTTCCTCTCAGATCACTCTTACTGAGTCTGGAGGTGGCGTGAAAAGACCAGGAGAGACATTGCGACTGACCTGTACGGTGACTGGGTTTTCTTTAACAAGCTATGGAGTACACTGGATCCGTCAGCCACTCGGAAAGGGACTGGAGTGGGCTGGAGTTATCTGGAGTGGTGGAAGCACTGACTATAGCAGTGCCCTCCAAAACCGGATCACCATCTCAAGAGACACCTCAAAAAACCAGGTGTTCCTGCAACTGACTAGCCTGAAGCCTGAAGACTCGGCCATGTATTACTGTTCAAGGCACACAGTGAGCAAAGCTTTCTCAGAGGCAGTACAAAAACTCTGCTTCCTGAAAGCAAGATATAAGTCAATCATGTGTTTGTGGGCAGCAGCTGTGAGCAAGGCCATGTTTCATCCTGTGTTTCCCCTCAACCACAAAACATAATATGATGCCACACAAATAGTTCTTTAACAGAATTAATTCTCTACAAATGTTGAAGTTTAAATATATTGGTCTGCACAACTCTTCAAAGTATGTTCAAAATATGTCAAGAGTGAAAAGGAATCACAGGTAGAGCTAATCTTAGCCATCTGATCCACATCCCTTTGGGATTCATTTCTCTCCAATCATGTGACAGTTGCACAGACACATTGCATTCTCAGCTGGGTATTACAGTGCTATAAAGTCATCTGAACAGCCTCCTACAATGTAAGCACAGAGTAAAGATTACTGTTGGTGGTGCTCACGCTCCATGACATTGGGCAATGGAGTCCAAAGGCCCAATACCACCTGCAAGAGAAAATAGAGAGAGAAATCTAATTTTGCCACAGAAAGAAACTGTCTAGGATATCCCTTTTAGATGGAGGTGGCATTTTGAATGGATGAAGAAGACAGCCCTTAATAGAACCTTATTTCTTTTATATTTTCCTGAATGCTTCAGTTTCATTCCCACATTTATATGATTTTGTTTCTATAAAAAATTAAAAAAGATTATATTTCTTTTGTTATGTATGTGTTTGTATGTATTCCACCTTTGTCTCAAAATATGTATTTAAATGTATACTTTTACACATTTAAACTGCTGAAGCAGATGGAATTACTGCATAGCAAATTTGTGAAAAGCACATTAAGCAAAAGTTGCTGATTAAAGATTGATTTCCTCAGGCACTGCTACTTAAGTTCTCTTGGTTTTCTAGCTCTGCAAATGGCGAGGACTTGTATTTCTTTGGAAAGGCCTCATCATAGCTGCTTTCAGTTTCTTTGCTTTTTTATTATTCAGCTAATTCAGCTGATCAAAGTGTTGCATACAGTAAAGCTACTGATAGGACAAATGTGCAACCCAATAAAGGTTTACAGTCACATATCACATATGAAAATATAGCTTCCTTTGCTGATATTTTATACCAGTCTTTAATTTTGGAATGTGGTTTTGTAAATGGAATCAAAGGAAATGAGTATTATTCTGGAGGCCATTCCATACTGTGTATATACTGTGTCCTCCCTGCAATCTGCAAGGTGCTGTTTTCCCTCTCCCAATCTTCTCTGTCTTTAAATGGGCCTTTGAAATTACAGAGAGATGTGGGGCTCCTGTTCTTAGCATGATAACTGCACTAACAGCATGTGTGCCTGTACTTGCAGCTTATAATAACAGCACTGATGACACCATGCAAATTACATCCTGGGGGGCTTCATTAAAAAGAAGCCCTGTGCAGAGGATGCAGAGCTCAGGTCTTCTTCAGGTCCTGGGAGATGATGCAATTGATCATGGAACTGCAAACTCTGATGATTTTCCTAATGTTCTTCCCAGCATGTAAGAGAAAAATAGTCTCCCCACTCTTGTAGACAATCCATTGCTTTGCTGTGTCATTCCATGTCATTCCATGTTTTATTTTGCTTCTCCATATACAGACATTTCCTCTCAGATCACTCTTACTGAGTCTGGAGGTGGCGTGAAAAGACCAGGAGAGACATTGCGACTGACCTGTACGGTGACTGGGTTTTCTTTAACAAGCTATGGAGTACACTGGATCCGTCAGCCACTCGGAAAGGGACTGGAGTGGGCTGGGCGTATCGGGAGTGGTGGAAGCACTTACTATAGCAGTGCCCTCCAAAACCGGATCACCATCTCAAGAGACACTTCAAAAAACCAGGTGTTCCTGCAACTGACTAGCCTGAAGCCTGAAGACTCGGCCATGTATTACTGTGCAAGGCACACAGTGAGCAAAGCATTCTCAGAGGCAGTACAAAAACCCTGCTTCCTGAAAGCAAGATATAAGTCAATCATGTGTTTGTGGGCAGCAGCTGTGAGCAAGGCCATGTTTCATCCTGTGTTTCCCTCAACCACAAAACATAATATGATGCCACACAAATAGTTCTTTAACAGAATTAATTCTCTACAAATGTTGAAGTTTAAATATATTGGTCTGCACAACTCTTCAAAGTATGTTCAAAATATGTCAAGAGTGAAAAGGAATCACAGGTAGAGCTAATCTTAGCCATCTGATCCACATCCCTTTGGGATTCATTTCTCTCCAATCATGTGACAGTTGCACAGACACATTGCATTCTCAGCTGGGTATTACAGTGCTATAAAGTCTTCTGAACAGCCTCCTACAATGTAAGCACAGAGAAAAGATTACTGTTGGTGGTGCAAACGCTCCATGACATTGGGCAATGGAGTCCAAAGGCCTAATACCACTTGCAAGAGAAAATAGAGAGAGAAATCTAATTTTGCCACAGAAAGAAACTGTCTAGGATATCCCTTTTAGATGGAGGTGACATTTTTAATGGATGAACAAGACAGCCCTTAAAATAATCTTATGTCTTTATATATTTCACTTAATGCTTCCATTTCATTCCCACATTTATATGATTTTGTTTATAAAAAAAGTTTAAAATAAATTATATTTCTTTTATGTATGTGTTTGCATGTATTCAATCTTTGTCTCAAAATATGTATTTAAATGTATGTTTTTACACATTTAAACTGCTGAAGCAGACGGAATTATTGCATAGCAAATTTGTGAAAAGCACATTAAGCAAAAGTTGCTGATTAAAGATTGATTTCCTCAGGCACTGCTACTTAAGTTCTCCTGGTTTTCTAGCTCTGCAAATGGCGAGGACTTGTATTTCTTTGGAAAGGCCTCATCATAGCTGCTTTCAGTTTCTTTGCTTTTTTATTATTCAGCTAATTCAGCTGATCAAAGTGTTGCATACAGTAAAGCTACTGATAGGACAAATGTGCAACCCAATAAAGGTTTACAGTCACATATCACATATGAAAATATAGCTTCCTTTGCTGATATTTTATACCAGTCTTTAATTTTGGAATGTGGTTTTGTAAATGGAATCAAAGGAAATGAGTATCATTCTGGAGGCCATTCCATACTGTGTATATACTGTGTCCTCCCTGCAATCTGCAAGGTGCTGTTTCCCCTCTCCCAATCTTCTCTGTCCTTAAATGGGCCTTTGAAATTACAGAGAGATGTGGGGCTCCTGTTTTTAGCATGATAACTGCACTAACAGCATGTGTGCCTGTACTTGCAGCTTATAATAACAGCACTGATGACACCATGCAAATTACATCCTGGGGGGCTTCATTAAAAAGAAGCCCTGTGCAGAGGATGCAGAGCTCAGGTCTTCTTCTGGTCCTGGGAGATGATGCCATTGATCATGGAACTGCAACCCTTGATGATTTTCCTAATGTTCTTCCCAGCATGTAAGAGAAAAATAGTCTCCCCACTCTTGTAGACAATCCATTGCTTTGCTTTGTCATTCCATGTCATTTCATGTTTTATTTTGCTTCTCCATATACAGACATTTCCTCTCAGATCACTCTTACTGAGTCTGGAGGTGGCGTGAAAAGACCAGGAGACACATTGCGACTGACCTGTACGGTGACTGGGTTTTCTTTAACAAGCTATGAAGTACACTGGATCCGTCAGCCACTCGGAAAGGGACTGGAGTGGGCTGGAGTTATCTGGAGTGGTGGAAGCACTGACTATAGCAGTGCCCTCCAAAACCGGATCACCATCTCAAGAGACACCTCAAAAAACCAGGTGTTCCTGCAACTGACTAGCCTGAAGCCTGAAGACTCTGCCATGTATTACTGTTCAAGGCACACAGTGAGCAAAGCATTCTCAGAGGCAGTACAAAAACTCTGCTTCCTGAAAGCAAGATATAAGTCAATCATGTGTTTGTGGGCAGCAGCTGTGAGCAAGGCCATGTTTTATCCTGTGTTTCCCCTCAACCACAAAACATAATATGATGCCACACAAATAGTTCTTTAACATAATTAATTCTCTACAAATGTTGAAGTTTATATATACTGGTCTGCACAACTCTTCAAAGTATGTTCAAAATATGTCAAGAGTGAAAAGGAATCACAGGTAGAGCTAATCTTAGCCATCTGATCCACATCCCTTTGGGATTCATTTCTCTCCAATCATGTGACAGTTGCACAGACACATTGCATTCTCAGCTGGGTATTACAGTGCTATAAAGTCTTCTGAACAGCCTCCTACAATGTAAGCACAGAGAAAAGATTACTGTTGGTGGTGCTCACGCTCCATGACATTGGGCAATGGAGTCCAAAGGCCCAATACCACCTGCAAGAGAAAATAGAGAGAGAAATCTAATTTTGCCACAGAAAGAAACTGTCTAGGATATCCCTTTTAGATGGAGGTGGCATTTTTAATGGATGAACAAGACAGCCCTTAAAATAACCTTATTTCTTTATATATTTCACTTAATGCTTCCATTTCATTCTCACATTTATATGATTTTGTTTATAAAAAAAGTTTAAAATAAATTATATTTCTTTTATGTATGTGTTTGCATGTATTCAATCTTTGTCTCAAAATATGTATTTAAATGTATGTTTTTACACATTTAAACCGCAGAAGCAAATGGAATTATTGCATAGCAAATTTGTGAAAAGCACATTAAGCAAAAATTGCTAATTAAAGATTGATTTCCTTAGGAACTGCTGCTTAAGTTCTCCTGGTTTTCTAGATCTGCAAATGGTGAGTGCTAGTATTTCTTTTTAAATGTCTCATCATAGCTGATTTCAGGGGTTTTTTTTAATGCAACTAATGCAACTGATCAAAATGTTGCATACAGAAAAGCTACTGACAGGACAAAGGAGCAACCCAATAAATGTTTACAGTCACATATCACATGTGAAAGCTCAGTTTCCTTTGCTGATGATATGTCTTTAATTTTGGATTGTGGTTTTCTGGATGGAATGTGGTTTTGTAGATGGAATCAAGGGAAATGAGTATCCTTCTGCAGGCCATTCCATACTGCTTCTATATTGTGCGCTCCCT